AAATGCCTAAATAAACTCCTACTATATTCTATACGCGAATACGCGATTTTGTTAATGGATGTATGATGAGGTTCATGCCATTTGTTGCCTTGTTTGCGAGTTTGCCCTGTGGTAAAATGCGGCATGACTGGCGGAAGACTTAATTTGTTATTTCAGCTGTTTCGACAGTAAGTTTTCATAGTAAGAAATGCGTGCATGAAGATTGAAGTTATTTACTGAACTGTGTATATATATGAACACATATAGTAAAAACAACCTTGTAATAGTTTAACTGTATCAATATAGGTAAAACTTGAAGTGTAGCTGGATTATTATTAAAGACTAGTTAAAATTTATAAAATGTTGGTGAATAATTTCATCAGCTTTTTCACAAACGATTCATAAGCGCATGGTTCGTATATTATAATTATACGATTTCATTGACAGACCCATTCTTATAGAGTAAAGATTATGATATGAACTATGTTATAATATGGTTTCCAATAGTTTAGAAATCTAAATCAGTTCATGAACATTTCATGCATATTGATCATGAACTGCGCCATGAAGTGTTCATGAATCACTTCATGAAAATTCATGAGGAATTCATGAAACGCTACCATGAATTATTCATGATTTTATTTGTGAATTATTCGTGAATGATTCATGAAATGTTCATGATTACAAGATCATGAAGTATTCATGAACAGCAATTTTCATGAACTGTGCCATTTAATGTTCATGAGAAAATTCATGAACAGTTCATGAATATAACTCATGATTTGCTCTTCAAAAATGCATGAACATTAGTTCATGAACTGTTCATGAACAAAAAAGTTCATGAACTTATTCTTCATGAACTGTTACTTTCATGAACTGTGCCATTTAACGTTCATGCACATTCATGAAGAGTTCATGTACTTTTGATGGAAGTTCATGAACAAAATTCATGAATTTTTCATGAATAATTCATCAAATTTTCGCCGGGGTGGGCTTCGTACAACACAATTTTATCGGCTGTTTAACTATCCTCAGGGCAATTAATGCTTGGCTCTGCCCACGCTTGACTTGACCGCGCGACTACACGCGATTAAACCATATCTAGCGTGTTGCCTTTGAGTGCATTTTGGCATACAAATGAAACTGAAATTCAATAAATATGAGCTGTAGCAACCAGCAGGGATGAGTAAACTATTAGTTTTTCTTCTGAAATTGGCAGTTGTATAGTATAATATATTATATGCGATATGCGGCGACCTTTGAACTTTGATATATAATATAATATAAAGCTCGCTATTGCGGGTTTTTATGTCTCAATTATTCAACCCCTCGATTTGTGATTCCTTTTTAGTTTCCCATGCACAAAAAATTATTTTAAATACAAATAAGTACCTGGCATATGGATGGTTCAAACTTTTTGGGGTGGTAATGTTTAAATGTGACATATTTCTCTTTAATAAGAGCACAATAAATGTTGTTGTTGAAATATAATATCCTTTCATATAAAGACTCAGACAAGTGTCGAATATTCTGCTAAATATATAAACGAACATATGTACTTATCATATTGTACTTCTGTATATATTATTCTCTCTGTTCCTCGCATATTATTTGAATGCACTACTTACTAGTTGCAAATGCTTTGTTAGTCATTGTATAATATTTTTATATTTGTACAGTATTTCTGTATTTCATAATATTTTGTTTCATGGCAGAGGCCTATGTTATAATGATCATGGCATGCACGAATTCATCACGCGAAAAACATGTTGGACTTGCGGGCACATAAGACACCGTTAATGGGGGTCATTACTAATAAGTAGATTTTGTTTAGAGTACAGCTAACTTTGGTCCTACAATTAGACTTGTACGCATTGTTATCTGGAACGATCGTTCTAGTGCAAATTATATTGACATTGTGCGAGACATTACTGTACTCACAGCAACATTTTCATATCTGTGGCACATCTTTAAGTTTCTAATTAGTACATTGCAGTATATGAGTAAAAGGTTCTGTGATAATATTTTTGTACATATCCATGAATGTTTAGTGTGTTGGCAAGCCGCGTTTTAAAACATTAAGTTAATTTCCATTATCACGTCTATATCTTGTCACATGACAAGTTTCTATGGAAACCAAATAGTTGAACAATATCGGCAGTTCATTTCAGACATCTCACCCAAAAATGAGAGTCATAGTGTACTTTGTTAATTTTTTATTAATTTTTAAAGATTTTTCCTATTTTCCCACTCCTTACTAAATTGGAGCCAGGCATAAATGCACCCGAGTTCCGCCGGATAAGAAATTTATACGCTGCATAGCGGCTAAACACTGTTTAAGTTAAACACCTTTCGTAAAACCAGCCCCAGCATAAATAGCGCGAAGATCTGAGTACGAGAAAAATTTCAAATATTAAACTGTTTTAAACTGTAAAACGAAGCCAGACATTTAGATTAAATTTTTTTGTAATTTTGTAATTCTAAATAAAAATAAATAAAATGACTATTCAAAAAGCAGAAATGATATGCCATCAAAAATGCTTACAGACAAATATAAGTCAAGGGCTTATATTTGGAGGTTTAAGGTAATCTGTTTCACCTTGACAGTATGATGAAAATTATTGGGGGTTGAAGTCCTTCCCAACAGCCACTTCCTGTGATCTTTAATATACACCAGGCCCAAGGCATGGATGCAAAAATACACAATTAAAAAATACAGATTAAATTTTAAAAACAGGACTAGCGGGTAATCACGCTTCGAAAAACCAGCCCCAGTTCCTTTAATTAATGTCCATATTTATTTTACAATCTTCAGGTATCAAAAGACATGTGAGCAAGTCTATAGTAAACATGGAATCGAGATTTCTTTCAATAGATCAACAAAAACGTTCGTTTGGCGAGTTATTTTGAGAATTAACTATAAAACAAAATAATAAAGCACTTCTTACCATATAAGCTTTGTCTACAATGCAATGATTGACTCAAGATTGCCGTTTATATCAAATATAATGTTTCGTCGGTGCAATGCGGCCAACTGCTAACGTCTCTTCGCCTTCGCGTATTGGAGCCACTACACATTCATGAAAAGTGTCTTTTGGGTTTCTTCCAGATATTTATCGTAATAACTAGTATTAAAATGCGTTCCAGAAAGGCAGATTGAAGGGATTCCTTTTTAGATTTTCTATAAAATTTTTTTTCCACATTCAGCTCGAGCCTCGATCAACCTCACCAACGTGTGGATGCCGCGGGCGTTTAGCCTGAATGCCTGATACAAAGGTCGATCACTGAGCTCTTTGTAAAACTGGAATAACATCTAGCGAAGACAGTTTATTCCATACGAAGCCCAAACATACTGTGCGATTTAAATATGTAAATGCTTGGAAAATTGACAGTAATTACTCCCTGCGGCATCAATCTCATAAAAATAATGATTTAACTAAAAAATATTCTGAATTTGTACACTAAAATGTGCGTAATCAATACTTATTGTTTACATACGTAGTATACAATCAGTACATAGTTGAAGATTCTATTTCAGAACCATCCTCAGAGATACGAAAAACTAGTTTCATATTAATCTGACACTGCAATCGAGCAACGAAATTTTTCGTAATTTAAAAAAGATCGATTCTTTCTTTGATTTTTTAAATTTCCTTAGGTAAAACGTTTTTATTTTCTGCACACATGAAGCTAATGTGCAGTTACTTCAAAGTTCAAATAATAGTGTTTTAAAAAAATTGTAGCAGCTGCCAGTTTTTTTTACTTCTCGACTGAACCGTGTTTTCAAAATAAATAAAAAATTGGCTCCAACGATTTTTTTAAACTCACATATTCTATGCATTTATGATTGATGTACAGTGTGCAAAGTTTAATTTGTTTTCATTTTGACTTTTAAATCACTACAGTAATATTTATATTTCACTTGTAGCTTCGACTTTCCACAAGTCGAAGATTTTGAACAATAGCTACTAATTAAACGTTAAAACGTAAAAGAATAATAAACAAAAGTTAATTAATGGTTAACAACATACGTACTTTTTCGTTTCAACTACGTACGATTTAAAGAATACTGGTATCGATATTTTAAGATACGCACCCAAAAACTATTTCGCCTGCCTGTGTCAAAAACCTCGAATTTTCCACGCGCACGACGCCAGAATGACGTCTGACTAAATCAACTTCAAATTCTACTAATACCTGTAGAAAGCCACCTTAATTAAGGCCCATTATTTCCTCAGTTTGCAAGATATGATCACGAAATTCACACACAACATTGCCTCAGTAGACCTTATTCATAAATCGTGATCGAGGCCTCGTATCCTAGGGTACGGGAAGAAAACGCTGGAAAATTGACAAAATGTTTTGTCAGCCATGGCATTACGGGTTTTTTCGAACATATTATCTATATAAAACTGAGCAGTTGAAATAATACGTCTGCGAAAATATGTAATACTCGTGATGTTTGGAAATTTTGCCAAAATTGGACGAGCCGCCGGGGCGAGTTACTAGTCCATAATTGTACGAGCAACATCGCATGATTACTTGTTTATTACTAGGTGTTACTATCGCAAGGAAAGTGCTGATTTTGATCCACAGGCAGATACTGAAACCTCAAATATATCTGAAAACTAAATACAAAATTATTTTCATTTGGCTTAAAATACATTTACATGTACCCATCAGGGCAACCAAGAAGGGGGAATTGGCCGAATTGCCCTGGGCTCCACCATTGGCAGCTCAAAAAGGCGTGTAGAATGCACCAATATATAATGCTTCCAAATGTCAATTTGCATTAAGCTCGTCCCATTCCTTTCTCATTTGTCGCCCGCCGCAAGCACTCAATTGAAAAGCAGTGTTGATATATGTTAGATATATAGATATGGACGGACAGCGGTCATACGCACGGACATGCGCATTAGATATGTAGATCGGCCATGCTTATGTATTATTCATATTTTGTTAAAAGTATAATCTAAATACACGACAGTGGCGACGAATTTGGGATTGTTATAAGTCCAGAAATGACGACGATTGGAAAAATTGATGTTTTTGATGAAACCCAAGAAAGCTGGGAGACGTATGTCGAACAAGTACAACATTTTTTCGCTGCAAACGATGTCGACGACAATCATCAAGTGCCAACTCTGCTGAGTTTGATTGGAAGCAAAACGTGTTATGAAGACTGTTAAAAACGTGCGAGAGACACCTTAAGTTAAAGGTAGAACTCAGGCTTCCCTGAGAACAAGTTGCGCGAACACATGTTTTTTTTTGTGATGTAGTTTTATATTTTTTTTATACGAGTTTTATATACGAGTAAACCCTGAGATTTTCGACGATATTTTAGTTTGTTTTTGCGTAGAGTTCGATATTTATCACATGGCGCCCAACGTGGGGCATATTGTCAAGGAAATTTAATCAAAAATGAGCGAAGAAAAGGCGATTTTAGCGAGATTTCGAGCCGTTAGAGGAGGCAATCGAGCAGTTATAACGAAGCTTATCAACGAAACACGAACGATTTTCGAGGACGAACAACCAAATCGAGGGAGATTAACAACTATAACGGATTTGCTAAACGAAAAAACGAGACTGGTTAAAGATTTGGACGAAAAAATTATAAATAGTTGCGAGGTTAGTGATATTGCAAACGAGATCGAAGAAGCAGACGAACTGAATTCGCGAATTTTAGACGTACAACGAGAAATAAAGGAATTACTCAACGGTGTGGCTACGAAGTCACCGCAGAAAAATACAATCGAAGATTCAAGCGATAGTGGAAACGAAGTATTATCAGTACCAGAACAGAGTTCAGAACAATCTACGATTCAGGAAGTACAGATAGAAGCAAGTGGAAGTACCAGTTTAAGCCCAACCAATGATGCACCTCAGCCAGCGCCCACAGAGGTAGGTGCAATAAATCCAAACCCGATTAATAATGTTAGCATTGATCATCCCGTCACGCCATTGCGTCAATATCAATCAAAATTGCCAAAACTTGTTCTACCAAAGTTTAAAGGCGACATTACGCAATGGAGAACATTTTGGGACAGTTTCAACAGTGCTGTGCATACCAACCAATTTCTCACTAATATAGACAAATTCAATCATTTGAATTCGTTACTAGAAGGTCAAGCTAAGCGTTCTATACAAGGTTTGACTTTGTCTGAGCAAAATTATCAAGCAGCCATTGACATATTGCAGCAAAGATTTGGCAATCAACAGCTTGTCATCTCCACTCACATGGACGAGCTTCTAAAAATTCCGGCATGTGCTGGTGATAAGGCTTCCCAGTTGCGGTTTGTCTATGATCGAATAAGTGTAAATGTTCGAGGACTTGAAGCACTTGGTGTCAAGGCAAGTCAATATGGTAGTTTGTTAATTCCGGTATTAATGTCAAAATTACCCCAAGATATACGGCTTCAAATCGCGAGAAAAACATCCAAGGAGGTCTGGGATATCTCAGAAATATTGGACGTAATCCGAAATGAAGTGGAAGCCCGGGAAATGAGCGAAGGTGTTAAGGTGATTCAGAATGAAAAACCAAGGTATCAGTCCAGACCCCCATCTGCATCTGCCCTACTTGTGAATAATGGTTCCCACAAGGGAAAAATTCGATGTGTTTATTGTAATGGTGATCATTTCTCAGCATCATGTGAGAAGGTTCGAGATAGACATGCACGAACAGAAATATTGCGAAAGGATCGAAGATGTTATGTTTGCCTAATGTTTGGGCACATAAGCGCTCAGTGTGATCCAAAAAGATCTTGTCGAAAATGTCAGGGCAAACATCATCAATCGATTTGCTTGCAGTCATGTCAACCCCCCGGTCAACACCCTGGCAGTCCACCCCCTGGCAGTCAACCCCCCGGTCAACACCCTGGCAGTCCACCCCCTGGCAGTCAACCCCCTGGCGGCCCTCTAAATGCAGGTTCTAAACCATTCAATCCTGCAAACACACCTTCAACTGGGAACCAACAACCATCAACAACTGCTACAGTTCAATCACAATCTGCCACAACAGCAAGTAATCAAACAAAGGGCGGTGTCATGCTTCAAACTGCAACAGCATCTGCAATCAGTTATGATGGATCAACATCTATTCCTGTCAAGATTCTATTTGACAGTGGGAGTCAGCGGTCTTATGTCAGTGACCATCTCAAGTCCAAATTGGGTCTCAAGTCGCAGAGATCCGAAACTCTCCACCTTAACACGTTTGGCGAAAAAAGGTTTCGAAGACAGAAATGTGAATTACTACAACTGAAATTATGCGCAAGCAACGATGAACAGGTGACGATTGAGGCCCTCAATTTCCCAGTAATTTGTTCCACAGTATCTGCAACCATTAACCTCGACAATCACCCTCACTTGAATGGAATACAACTGGCTGATAAATCTAATGTAAGCGATCCCATAGACGTTCTAATCGGTTCTGACTACTATTGGGACATTGTTGGAGGTGAAATGATTCGAGGACAGTCGGGTCCTGTAGCAATTAGTAGCAAATTTGGATGGCTTTTATCTGGGCCAACTACCAAAGAGAAAGGAGAATTGAAGACCACAACAAATCTGATTATTTCTGGAAGTTCCAAAGGTCCGTTCGAGACAGCCGAAGATCCAATCGTGAACACGTTAAGGAAATTTTGGGAAACCGAATCCATTGGGATTAAGAGTAGTGAAAGGTGTTGCGAATCAGCATTTAACGAGAGTGTTCGATTTAACGGCGAAAGGTATGAAATTGATCTACCATGGAAAGATGAGATGCCTCGACCTCCCAGTGATTTTGATTTGTGTGTCAAGCGGTTAAGGTCACTGCAGCGAAGGTTAGTCAGCCAGCCAGACTTGCTAACCGAGTATGATGGAATTATCCGTGAGCAGTTACAAAATGGTATCATCGA